TAGATGATAATCATCATCATCAGGGTATTTTTCCAACTATTTAGGATTGACTACACAAATCCTGATCTGTTATTATACTCTATTAAGGGTCACATCGTCATAACTCCCGATATATTTTTCAACTACTTCCAACCATGCCCTTTTGGGCATACCCCATGCTTGTTTTTAGCCTTCCACTTGAAAACTCGCACCTCCTAAGAGGTGATGTACTAGATCTGCATTGCACATTGACCCACCTAAGTTTCCTTTCTATTATTTTATCGCCTATTGGATCCACACCTAAGTTCTCTTAAATGTATTCATTTCAAGTTTTACCCCTTTTTGTCTTGCTATTCATCCATCTTAAATATCATCATCTTAGCTACACTCATCCTATGAGCATGTTATTTCTTGATCGTCCAACATATCGCTATATCTGGCAAAGTTGGTCTCACAGTTGTCCTATAAAACTTGCCTTTTATCTTCATTGTTATGCGGCAATTACATAAAACTTTAGTTGCACATCTTCAGTTCCCCCACTCAACTCTAATTCTATGTGGGATATCTTTCTCAATCTCTCCATTTTCTTAGATACGGCAATCACATAAAACTTTGGTTGCACAGTTGGGAGATTAGATGTATTACCATTATCATAAATTCCCTCGAAAGAGCAAAAGATTATTTACTGCAGTGCAATCAACAAAATCTATATGGATGAATGTCGTGAGGGAGTCACTGCAGTTAATTTTTGCTGCACCTCGCCCCACGGGGAAATGATTGAGGATATCCCCCACGGTGCAAACCTATAGTTAGTGTTTTAAAACCTAGAATCAGATCTTGAATTTTCCACCAACCAATTCAGATTGGCAATCCAGATTGGGTGGATCAGTTGAAAAAAGAAAAGAAAAAAGAAGTTAATATCAAGTCATTGGGGGAGATTTGATATGGGTTGGCAATTTCCAATTCAGATTGCTTTGATATAAAACCATGGTCTTCTCTAACTCAATTGGTGGTTCACAGTCTTGAGTAATTCTAGGATCACATAAATTTGACAGAAGACGCTCTTTTTCAGGCTGAGATGGACGAATAAGATTCGATCGCTATTTTTGCATCACTAGATCAAATACATTTGTGTGAATTTTGCGAAAAACTTGTAGCTTTTAAGTCTAAACTATTATTAGTTTTGTTCCAAAGTTAGTGAATGTTGGAGTCATGGGAAGTATCTTAATGCAGGAAAAACACAAAAATTTAAGATTGGATAGAGATTACACATGGTTTTTTAATCCGATTTTCTTTTTACGGTTGGTATCAATCTTTCTCTTTTATGGTACGCAGTTCTTTCTAGTGAGAATTCTATACCTGTAATTGCAGGCCGACATTTAATTACGAGAACTAAAAACACAATATACACAACTGATATTCCGGGTAATGATGGACAACCCAGGAGTCATTATGCTGATGCAATTTTTATGCTCCTAGGGTTTTTAGTGAGAGAAAACTAGGAGAGGAGAGAGAAGCTTTTTTAGAGATACATGTGACTATCAATTTTTCTTATATGAGGAATACTTTTCAGTTAGAGATATATGTGATTATTAATTTTTCTTATATGAAGAATACTTTTCATTTATCTTTTGATCCTTTTATATAGGAATATCTAACGAGAGAATCGTACCCAAACAAAAAAAAAAATAGTGGTATTTTTTAATTTGAATAATATTATACCTAGCCAACTCTATTCCCAATTAGAAATGCATATCTCATGTGATGCCGCCCTTTTCTTTCTATCTCTTACCATTAAGAAATCCAAAAATAGTGTAGATGTCTTTCTCTCCAATAACCACTAAAAACATAAAAAATTAATAATAAAAAAAAATCCGGAGATCCTTACACCGACAAGGAACGGATTCCAAATCCAATATCAGCAGTAGTTGCACAAAAAGAAGTTCGTCCCCTTCATAAATGTAGGTATATCCTCTTACTTCGGCTAAAGGAATATCTAAGAGCCCACAACCTTGAAACACTAGGGACCATACTAGCCTAGTAAACTACAAATCATAGTCCATTCACCCTAAGAAATATCCTCAAAATACCATAGAAGTCCATCACTAGTAAAACCCTAATTCACCAATCCTCATTAAAACCTGCCTAATCGGCCCCGACCCTACCCATTAAAGGTTAAACCCACTTTTCTAATGATGGTTTGGGAATCAATAGTGGTTTGCTCCCATTTTCCTCAACGACCATGGGAATACTTCACTATCGTTCTCTAGCGGAGGAATCTCCTCATCATTCCTCATTTGAGATCTAAACATCTTACATAAATTAAAATTATCCAAGACCTCCTTACGCTTAGGAACTTTAATCACATCGTATGATTCAACTTCTTTCAGGGGAACTCTCTTGAGACTCATAACCAAGGATATACCCATTGCAGTTCTCGAAACATAAAATGAAGCCTCATAATGTGGACCACAAATTTAATTCATTGTCAACTCAGATGACAAGAACCACCTGACACTCAACGACCCAAAATGATATACGTCGGATTCCTTACTGATCCATAGCTCTCAAAACGGTTTTAGATACAAATCATGAAGGCACCCTATTCAAGATGTACACATCAGTCGATAAAGCATCTCCAGGAGCTCAGGTAGAGAATTGCTTCATACGATCCCTTCTCTTTGTAATGCAATATTGTTGCGGAGTGTTGGATATCATGTTTTGTTGATGTATCATTCATTATTTGCCGATGAATCCCATGATCTCGAGAAAATTGTTCAGATTGTGCTTGCGCCCTTTATTACTTTCTGAGATCCATAATTCTCTTTCCTGCTGCTTAACTTCCAACTTAAATGTAATGAAGTACTAAGTGATCATTTCTATTGCGATTTGTCGCAAAGCCTTCACATTATAGGGACCACATATGGCCAGATGAAAGATATTTAATAGCTCTTTCGCTCTTTATGCCTTACGAAGAAATTTTCTTGTAGATACTTTCATTGAACAAGGTTTTAGAATGGGTAGCTTCATTTTGGTTAATGATCCTAAAAAAGCTTCGCATCCCATCCTATATAAGAATTCATAGCGAAGAAACAAAAATCTAATCATGGAGAGAAAAGTAAAAGGGAAGACAAGGGCGAAAATGGTCCATCTACAAGAAAATCAATTGAAAGGGCACACAATTTATATTTTATTTTCTATATCAATCCCCTTAAGACAACTGAATGTCTTATTAAATAGGGTATGGACTCCAAGAATGGGATGCTCCTCGTCCTAGAAGTGTAGAGCATATAATGGAGTAACATGGTCCAACGGGAAGATAACAATGCTCCAAAGCAGATTATACCTACGAGTGTACTATGATTAGTTTGCATCCTATGGCCCAAAACATAAGGGTGCAACCAGTAGATGGGATCCTACAGGTTGCATCTTACTTATTGAGTTATCCCAAAAATGTATGGGTGCGGTTTGTATAGAGTCGATGCTCTAAACAATCAAATTAGGGTCCACCTTAAAATAGTGTCGAGAAATATGGGTATTGGAAATTTTTGTGATAGCCTTAAAATAGATCTTCATCTTTAATTATAAAATTTAAGCTTCAAAGACAGTGTAGATTGATCAGATCTATGAAAACTTAAAAATCTTGAAAATTGATGGTTCAAAAATGCTTTACAAGATGCGCTATTTTCAAAACTTGAAATCCATTTTTTTCTCATGTCCATGCATCTTGATGTCGAGATGATCAATTTGATGATAATTGAGCATCAAAACAACCTCTTTTGTTAAACGTTTTGAGGTAGGCTCTATATAAACTTTTCTCAAAACATATATAGTATGCCAAAAATTGACATTAGAGGCAAAATTACGCCCTTCGAAAGGTAAATACGTAATTTTGCTTCTCTGAGGTTGTATAGTCCCTATAAGGCTGAGGCAGCACATAGTTTCCATGAGGCAAAACCACATATCATGTAGTTGCACCTGTGCTCTTCGGTGTAGCCGCAGCCTTACAGGTGCAGCCTCACTAACTTTGTGTAACAGCGCGACAGTCCAGGGCGTGTGATCATCCGTGTGGCATCAGATGGATGACTCACACATGTAATGGCAAACCTGTGGGGCCACACATGCCATGGCACACGAGTGAGCCGCTTGTGTCTGCCACACGTGACACTTTTTTATTTTCCCTTCTTCAATACACTAGACAACAAGACCATCTCCTTGCAGTGGTCCACTGGACTATAGAACTCCATGATCACACTTGACCACCGCACCATGTGGTCATTCGGGACTGCCGTGACGGCCCGCATGTGCAAGAGGAGCATGCCCTACAACCGTTACTTTTTGCGGTTTTATTCTTGGAAAAATTACAAATAACCTGAAGACTAAAATTTCTATGCAAGTTTACCTTAACATACATTTTCTTAACAAATACCCCAACTCAAAAAAACATAAAAAAAAGTCTAAACGACCCTCCCTTACTCTTACCCAGGCCTCTCTCTCCTCTTTTCCACGAAAAGGTGGTCCAGCGTATTCATAGGGCGGTCCGACAGTATAATGTCAATCCGGTAAAAAATAGTGGCGGTCCGACAGTACAAGTGGCGGTCCGATACTAACAAAAAACGGTCTACCCATGCAGTCTGGTATTACCAAAGAGCGGCCCGACAACAGGCCCAAAGTGTGGTCTGGCAATGTCCGACAATTTTTTTAGTTTAACGGGGTCAGACAACGTCAAAGAGCAATCCGACAGCCCATATAAGCCCACGTGATTGTCTGGCCAAAATTAAATTTTATATACAAGAAAAGGCATTTTCGTCAAAAAATGCATTTGCTAGCAAAGTGTATTTTGCAGAAAAAAATGAGAAAAAAAATTTGGTTGGGAGCAACTTGCATAGAAAGTCTAGGCTTGGGGCTTATTTGTAATTTTCTTTCTATTCTTCCCCAACGTACAAAAACGACCGCTATCGTTCCGGAGGCATGGAGTCATTTCAATTGCGAAATATAAAAACTCTTTATGCTACTAGGAATTACGCACTAAGAGCTCACTGATAGGTTGTATTGTACGTGAAAAGAGCCGTCCCATGAGTCAAAAAAGAAACATCAAACAACATTTCTCATGAGTCTAACTAATTGTTACATAATTAACTTAATGATTAATCATAGTACCTGAGCATCATCCATCATTAGGTTCTCTCAGCAGGGGTGAGCTGCCCCATCTGCTCAGTAAGGTGATCCACATTCTTCTTGCTCCACCAGAAGCCCCCAATTTCTCCCTGTTTGCTCTCCAATTTACGGTAGGCACCATCTCTCATAGCCGATTGGACCTCCTGTGTATCAGTTGAACCTGGAGTCTCTGTAAGAAACTGCTCCCAAAATACATCATTTACCCCAGTTTGTACTGCACTACTAGTCACCGTACCCACTACCCTTTGATTAGAAGAATGAACCTCGACGGAGGCCGGCTCAGAGTTCACATCGATCCCACAACCCTTAATCTGAGAGTCTGGAATGGCTTCAGAATTCCCAACTCTTATAGCATGGTTAGCTAATTCCTGATATTCAAAACGAGGAGGCCCTGGATCTGGGCTTTCCACATGATTAGTAGACTCTGCCAATTCTGGAGAAGAATGGAGATCAATTAATCTAAGAGATGAGGCATTTTGCTTAGGTGATTCAGGCCCGGGAAGCACTCCTTGCTCTTCCGATGTTGCATGCAATTCGGTCAAAATTACAGTGGATGGGCGATTGGTGATGGAACCGATATCCATTTCCTCTCCACAAGCATGGCCCACATCACAGAAGAAACTCTCCCATGAATCTAAAGAGGATTCCATTTTTTCAAAAGGCTCAATGTTAATTAATTGTGTTGAAACTCCATCAGAGTTATCCCTTGCAGATTGGAAAGCAATCAAGCGACCATCTTGAATATCTACCCGTGCATAAGTAGAATCCGGTTTGGGCAATCTTCTCTTTTTGTTAGCCGAGGAGATGAACTTATGGGACTCAATCTGCTCTCCTATGTAAGAGGAAAATCCAGGCTTTTGCACTCGCTGGCTCAAGAGAGCAATCATTTGCTTTTGACGGTTCTCCATTCGATGCAAACGGTCCTCTAAATCTTGCACCTGTGATTCCATCCCATGCCGTTGCTGCATGCGCCTTTGTAGGTCAGCCAAGATCCCAGTTTTCTCACGTTTGAGTCTCTCAATTGTATCCTCTAGTTCCTGTTTCCCAGGTTCGGATGGTGCCCCTGAAGAATTCCCTTGTGCTTGGTGGTGATGCTGTGAATGGCTGTGTATTGGCTTACGTCTGTGGATGTTCTTTAGCAAATGACGCTGTCCTCTAATGAATTCCTCGTTTCCAAATTCCCACTGGTCAGGATCTATTTTTCGAAAGCCCTGATTGTGCAAAAAATACATTGTAAGTTCAAACATAAGAACAAAAATGGCAACCAACAAATGGCCAGCTAGTCAAAGCATAAGGTAAGGTTCAAATATGGCTTTCAGATCCAAATGAAGCAGCAAATATATGATCTGGAAATAAGAATTTGTTTGATTAGAAGAAAAAACAGGCACAATTTGTTATTCAAATACTTAGTGCATCCACGCACTATATTTCCAAACTGAGTCCAAAACAAAATTTCAACCAATACTAACAGCCACATTACCAGTTTCAGCTCTTGGAGCATTCAGTTTCAGACCAAGACTAAACCAATATTAAGGCAAAGTTCTATTCGCCTTTAATATTTGACCAAATTCCACAGATATCATAAGCTTCTCCCATAAGAGAATCACAAAGCAATGAAGCTTCATCTTACCCTAATCAGTCAAACAATAATCAGTGACCACATTTTTTATAGCTAATCAAAACCCAGTAATATGGTCAACAAGTATCATCTCAAACAATCACAAACAAAAGTAGCCTTCACCTCACCCTTATTAGAACATAGTTGACTAAAATGCACTATTATTAGCCAAAATTTATGAGTGTAAAAAATTATAATTTATAAATGGATATCCATACACACGGATTCACATATCACAAGTGAGGGGAATAGTGTGCCCACCTTAGCCAAAGAATTTTGCCATCTCATTGTCCTTCCTACAAAAATAGGTTTAGGAAACAATGAGAGGCTGGCAAATGTCATTATCTCACAAAAAACGTGATGTTAGGCATTGTGTCATTGGAGTTCCACCTAATCACGTGAGGGGATAAGTAAACCTCCTATAGGACTACCTCAATGGGATGAGAGTTCTCAAGTAAAACAAGTTAGGGATTGAAGAACTAGAAATCCAAGTAAGAATCTTATAAATGATCTCATGTTGTTCATCTGGCCATAGGATGACAAGGAAAAAAGACCCCCCCCCAAGCATGCTCCACCAAAGCCATATAAATACATCAAAAGAAGGAACTTCGGCTGCCCCAAGCATGCTCCAAAATCTAAGGCACTTACAGTCTCCAACGATGAACTTAAAACTCTAAGATCTTTAAGGAACTCCTTTGAAACACCACCCACACCCCTCCAGATGCTTGAGGGCCTAGTTGGACAGTTCAAGGATTTCACAACACAGTCATGGGCATGAAACCCAAATTAGCACAAGCTCCCAGATCATTTGCCCAAACCCAAAGGCCAAGTCAGCATCCTGCGTGATGCCAAGTCCATCCAACTACTTCAGGTAGCATATCTCCAACCAGGTGAAAATTTGGAGCCGTCTCACTTTTCTCCAAAAGAAGTCCCTTCAAAGGCAATCAATATTTTATAGATTGATGAGAAATAAATAGGCAAAAGGAAAATTCCATACAGTGGACTTAATCAAAGTGATCTCCCACCAGTGTAGAGACTTTCACTTCCAAAAGGCCAATAATCTCCAAAACTCAATGAATGGGCCAATGTGGAGGCAGTATAATAAAGAATCCATGTCACCTTCTTGAACAAGAGCAATTGTGCTCTTCAACAGAGAGAACATGACATGGGGGATATGTGGAAGCACATGTAAACAAGATGCAGTCCTGCTGCTGTCATGCTGACATCATTCTGCTCATAGGTTATTCTGCACAAAGGCATTTCTAGGATTTTTAATATTGTTTAGGGGCGATGTGAAGCTTTTGAGAATTGTTTGGATTAATTAGTAGTAGTTGGGTGTTCTATTCTAATTTAGGGTTTCGAAGAGTGGCTACTTAAAACTTTGTAAAGAGGTTCGAGGTTTTGCTGATTTTATCATTATAGAGAGACTTTCCTCCATTAAAACTTCTTCACTTCGATATTACTGAATCTATGCATTTTCTAGCCCTATTTCCTGCTCAAATTGGCTTGTCTTTACTTTGTGCTCCAGCTAGTGTCAAAACACTGATCAATGGGACGGAAGGATCATTCACCCACAAATCCGTGTTGGATCACTGCATATACAATTCGGATCAGATCTCGATTGGTTTGAATCAATGATCTAGAAAACATTAAAAAATAAATGAAATAAAATAAAAAATAAAATTGGGTTTATACGGTGGAGATTTAGAGGGGCCTTATGAAAACATTAGATAAGTTTAATATATGTAAGGGGGATTTTAGGGGGGGAACCAAGCCGGGACCCATACCACACCAGAACTGGTTCAGTCTCTACTAGTTCCCATCCCGATCGGAAATCAAGGGTGGCAATCGAGTCGGGTCGACCCGCCAACATAGCAGGTTGACTCGAACTGGGTCCGAGTAGTGGCCGGGTCCGGCATGGACCCTATCGGGTTGGGTCAGGCTGGGTCCAAGTCAACCCAACACGACCTAGTTTAGAATATATATATATATATATACATATATATATATATATATATGCACAATAATATATAAAATAAAAATTTTATTTTTTTTAATTTCTAGATCCAGGTCCAGGTTGGGTCTGGGTTTGAGTCGAAATGACTTGGACTCGACCTGGATCCAAGTTAGGTTTGGGTCTGAGTCACTTGGACCCGACCTGGCTTCGGGTCAGGTCTGGGTCCAAGTGAAACCTAATTGGGTCGGGTGAAGGGTGCAGTCGACCCGAACCCCAACTTGATCCATGGCCACCCCTATTAGAAATAGTCGGGATCCAAAACACTAGCCGCAACAATAGGTATCAGAGCATATCAATTTTCTTCTCACACCATGACATTAAGTTTCCTTGAAAACACAAGGATGGTTGCACAAGGGTTGCGAGGAAGAAGTTATGTAAGAGGAGGTTGTCGTTGAGGTGCAGGAGTTGGACTCAAGATGGCAGACTTGGAGATTGGTCATCAAAGATTCTACACATTGGCTGCATATGGGCCCCATATCAAAGACATCACCCTAGATTTGCATCAGTAAAGCAATGAATGCAGAGGTGATTATGTGTGTCCCCGGGTTTAGGACACAGACCAAATCTGAATTCCGAGGATGATTCAGACCATAGTTACTAGAATCTCTCATCCAAGGTCGCGATAATAATATGGAACCCAATTATGTGGTTTCGACAAGGAATGTTCACAAAACCCATTTCTGTGAAGTAAGGAATACTTTTTTTTAAAACTGTTTAACTTTTTATTAATATTTTTAAAGAATCTCACTTCTATTATTATTGATTCTTGATTTCGCATTTGTTGAATCTCGATTCTTCACTTGTTCAATCTGGATTCCACATGTAATGATACTCAACTCGATTGTTCTCGAATCCAGATTCCTAAACATCAAGCACCATAGTTCGTAGATGCAAGAAACCACAAGTTAATGAAACATCGAATCTCGCTTCCACCATCATAGAATCTCGATCTCATTTTATTCTTGAATCCTAATACCTAAAAATCAAATACTAAAATTTCAGGTGCACATTAAATATTTATGGTTTTAGACTTGAATTATTTAGAAATTGGACTGAAGACAATTGTCTCCCATAGTTCAAATATGAGCTATTTGGAAATTGGAGTGGAGACGATTGTCTCCAAAGCCAGCTGTCACATACACCCACCCCTAGTGTTTAATCCCATTAATGTGTACAGTTGTGTATCAAAGGCGTTGTATGTTTTATTTTTTAATGACACACAATATGTAATCTTTAGCTATCATTTAATGTCAGAATCTCTATAATCTCTATCAATGTACCTGCTTGATGCTTGATTATAAAGGGGTTACAAATCTCGATCGCCACATGGGTCGAAACTCGAATCCAAACTGTTAACAATATCGATTCCAATTTAGGTCGATCTCGATTCCAAGCTAGTATGATTCCCAATTCGGAATGCCTAGGACTCTCGACTCCAAAGATGTTGGAATCTCGATTCCATAAATAAAGGAATCTTCATTCCATACTGTTCAATTCCAAAAAGGTCAGAAACCCAATTCCATAGAGCTGGGAATCTCGATACCATCTAGGTAGCGATCTCGATTTCATTTTGGTCGAATATCGATTCTTATAAAATAGGAATCTCGTTTCTCATGATTCCTCTTCGACAATCGTCGATTAAGAAAACATGAATCTTCTAGCCGGCCACGATTCTGCAATTCCGATTCCTAAAACAATGTGGATTCAGAATCTTTTCTAACAACTATGATTCAGACTCAGATAGCCTAAGATCACATTGTCACACGAAAGAGACCCTATACCATTCAAGGATCTATTGGTCTATGTGCTTGAAGGCTCTAAATGAAGTATTAAGGTTGATGCTCCTGATTCCACAGGGAGATGACTTCCTTAGCTAGCTTGAAAATGTCGATCAATTTTTTCAGTGGAAGGATATGGCACAGCATAAAAAGTTACAATTCATTGGTACTAGATTGAATGGACATGATTTGTTGTTGTGGCAGTAAATATAGGCTGATCGCACAAGAAAAGGATAGCAAGAGATCCAAAATTAGGAGAAGACGAAGAGGTATTTGAAGGGAAAATTTCAGCCCACAGATCAAATGCAAGATCTTTACCAGCGAGTCCATTTACAGCGGAAAGATGGTTCAATGTAGGATTATACAAAAGCTTTATATCAATTGTTGTGTCGGAATGATATTTGGGAGACTGATGACCAGTTGATTGTGCGGTGCGATATAAGGTTAGGTGTCTATGCATCAGATATTTACTTTGGATCAGGCATATAAGCTCACTTTCAAAGCTGAGACCCAGTTGTGCAGATCTGGGCCCAATTGCTTTATAGATAAGGGAACAGCCACTACAAAGTCCAAGGAGGCAGTGGGGCAAAGTTCTAATTAGTCTTGTGGTGAGGAAGGAGATTGATTTAAGCAACAAACCTACCAATGCAGGCCTATCATAGAACAAGTGCCCCCAAAACAGTAGTAAATCAGCAACATGCTTCAAGTGTGGCAAGCCAGGACATAGGTCTTATGATTGCCGGAAGTGCCAAGCAAGTGTACACTTACAAGGGGAAGACATGGAGGGTAATGAGGAGG